TATTTTAGCCTGGCTAGTAAATAAATCACTGGAGTGAATTGTTAATTTCAACAACAAATTCACTGAGTTTTCCAGTGTTCATTACTAATGATTTCTAATGTGTGTAAACTGTAACATTATTCTTATAACACTAATTGCGACATGATAAACATATATTTATTGGTATATCCTGCTCTTATTAATCGATTGAATATGAATGTGAATAAGTGCCAATGATATCATCCTCGTGTAATTAAATGAACCTAAATCAAAGCTTTTCCCACAAAAATACTTTGAAGTAATTGGCTTCATTTCAAGTAACATAATTTATATTAATATTTACTTGAATAACCCAATCAATTTGATTAATTTTCCGGTTAAACCCTCAGTGCCATAAACATGAAATAATTCTGAATACTTGGAAAATGATGAGCAAAGTTGTTAAAAATATAATAAAATGGAAGAACAGTAGTTCTCCAACATGTATATAAAATAAAGTATGGCTTCTTTAAAGATATTTCAGTTAGCTGTTACAAATCATTTTTAATTTTGTCTGAAGTTATTTAATTCTGAACCCAATAAATATTTTATTATTTCAATACTCTGGAATAGAATATTTAGTGTGTTACATAAAATATCATTACAGTGCCATGCTACAACAGCGTATTAATTAATAGTGAAATAAGTCATAATTTTACCTTCGTCATTAGCTTCTATGTTTATTAAACGATGAAGGTATTATGGTGATACAATAAGAAGGTTCGATTATTAGAATGGCGAGATTCACTAAATAAATCTTAGCAATGGTAATCAATTTATCATCATTTGGCAGTAGTACCACAGATGATTAATTTTCTTATAATAATTTTTAAGATGTTTAAATGTATGTTCTGTACAAAAGTACATTTGTTTCCTATATTCAGCGCACCCATTTAATACTCTATCTGCAGTACACTCACCTTAACCAAGGAGATTTTAATTCTACCAAGTTATATCAGTATAGATTTTCAATATTTAAAATAAATGAAGATAACTGTTTGATTTTATTTTACCCAGTGGTACTTCCTGCCAACACCGTGTATAATACTACACTGTAAAGATGACTCTGATAACTTTCAACCACGTTTTTGGAGTGAACTCCTGATATTTTTCCACGCAGCTCGCGCCTTTGGAGTTTAGTTACCGTAATGACTTTTTATTATTATAATAGAATGCCTCAAAACCTACAACTATAATATATACCTGCATAATGCAATATATATACAAATTTAACGGACAACATGTAACCTATCATAGGTTATTTAGGGTGATACCACGCGGATAGAATAAACAACTATTGCCGACGAAACAATAACGGTAGACAACAAGCTCATGGACGCGAGATAAAGAACAAATTTTCGACGAATGCACTCGATACAGTAAACGATAGTGAATATGTCCGTGCTTGTGGTTTGTTGTAGTGTCTAGCGGGTGGTGAGGTAATAGTAGTGGGTCACGCCGCGACGCAGAATCCCCTCACCCGTCTACAATCGACCGATGACGCGTTTATAAGGCAGCCTATGAACGAGTAATAAAAGATCACTTACTATCCACAGTTTGATCATAATAAAATATATCAGTCGCTGAAATTATGAAAGCACTAGACCTATGATTTTCTCGACTCGATTGATACTAAATTCAGACGATCTGCCATTTATTAGACCCACGCCTTAATAAAGAATACCGAACAATATTACAGTATTGAAATGGAATGTTTAGGTTTCTGTATATATTCGGTCGAGTGCTTCCTTTTTACTTAGCTCGTGACATTACGTGTCGTATGGATGTGATTGAAATAACACGGTACAACATAGTGGTGTTTGTAAGATTATTATTTCAAAGCGATGTATAATATTAATAATCTATAATCTCCTTATACATTTTAAAGTAAAAAGTAATACAAAAATAAAATATGAGTAGGTGACTTCAAGGGGATTCAGCCGATCGTTTTTGGCGAATACCACTTTTATTGTACCGATGTAACTACTTTACGAAAGAAATCTGAAAACATATTTTTATTCGTTATAAAGTTTGACTGTGATCGATCATCCGCAGGTTTTCGTCTTATCCCCCATTTGGTTAAAAACTAACAATTTTGAATTTTTAAACGGTGAATAAACCAATTAAAAATCAAAAATGGATGATCACAAATAAACTTCATAACGAATAAAAATATGTTTTCAGATTTCTTATCGCAAAAGTAGTTACATCGGTACAGTGGACAAAAAGTACATGCTTTCAACAAATAATCTCCGTTCGTAAGCGACGCCGTGCGCGACATTTGGTGACTTGCTCGTGTGCGTGCGGACGTGGTTCCCTCTCGCCACAAACTATTTATATCAATACGATTTATTTATATCAATACGATTACGAAACATCGTTATCGACGGTCACCGGCTATTCTATGAACACGGTTCACTCTGTTCATTCTTTTTCTGTGCGGTGAGCTAATGAATAAACAAAAATAAAATAAGTTTTTTTTACTTATAAAATTATTTAATTGAATAGCGTTTTCTTTTCAAATAAACATTTTTTAATTGATTTGTCCAATGGAAAACGATCTAGTAACAAGAAAAAAAAAAAGAGTTAGATTGTCCAAATTAAAAAAACATAAAGGACATATAGAAGCGATACACAAATGGCGTTTGAATCGCATACATAATACAGTAAGTTAAATTGTAATTATTTGTATTCTTTGAATGTTATTTTTAGTTTTTATTTTAAACATTTTTCTGTGTTTTTATGCGTGGCTATACAGGAAAACTCTGATTCTTCGTCACCGCAATATCAACCACATAGCAATGACAATATTCTAGACCAGAGTAGTTCTACAATGTTCGTATTTACATAATTCAGTTTGTTATTATTAATGAAGTAATATATAAAATTTATATTTTTATAAAGGACGTTGCAAACCCAATCAATTTTTATTAAAACGACCTATGTGGCTGACAAAAATGTTGGTACTAGAAGTTGTTTAATTTTCTAAAATATGTTAAGATGCTTGGATTGGTAAACAATTTTACTTTGTATCGGTCAGAGCACATGTTTAATATTTTTTAATATACTTAACTTTACAAACTTACAAATTTTAAAAATTATTCATGTTTATTCATTGTCAAGAATTTACTAAAATTGAAAAATTGCTCCAACCGATGCAAAGTAAACTTCTTTATGCATTCATACATCTTTAAATTTTTTATATTGAGCCACTAGAAGTACTCAAATTTTTGTCCTACATATAGCTATTTTACGTTCATAAATTAGTTTTTAATATTTTGATCCAAATTAATATTGACATTTGCGTTTAAAGTTTAAAGTTCAAATTTTAACGAAAATCATTATTTTGACGTAAAATACCGAATTTTTCGATTAAAATCCTAATAAAGTTGTTAATTATTAATACCCGGTAATTATTTATAATGATTTTATTATTTAGTGAAGAAATAAATGATGATAATGGATGTGAAAGTAATAACGTAGAGACCGTAGAGTCATCACATATGAATATGTTAGATTCATCTGATCGATCAGTCATATTTGACCGCAAAAATGAAAAAGAACCAAAAGATGAGTGAGTTATAAAATATGTATATTACATTTATTTTTTCTAAGATAAATCTAATCAAAATTAAATTATAATTTAATTATGATAAGAGTATACGGCCGTGTTCCAAAGCATTTATTATATTTATTAAAATATTTTTTACCTACCACATGGTTTCTAAAATTGTACATTAAATTTTTTACACATTTTTAGGGTATGCTTAATTCATGGCAGACGGATTGTAGATATGCAATATGTTTTTGACACTATTTCTAAAATAAAGCATGAACCATTTAGCTGTACTTTTTCAGATTTAAAATTGATAAAAGAAACTCGTTCAGGATTTTATAGTGAGTTTGTTTTTAAATGTAAAATATGTAACAAAGAAGAAATTGTTGGTACAGAGTGTCCAAAAGAAACCATCCCTATTAACTTGGCAATGGTAGTATCTAGTATAAATACTGGACAAGGTTTTTCAAGTCTTGAGCAATTTTCCGCAACTTTAAATATGCCATGTTTGTCTAATCCTACATATCAAAAGCTTCACGAAGAAGTAGGGAAGCAAATGGAAAACATATCTTGGGAGGCGACTGAAAAAGCAGCGAAAGAAGAAGCTATGATCGCGTACGAAAATGGAGATGTAAATAAAGACGGAATCCCAATGATAACCGTAGTAGCTGACGGAGCTTGGTCTAAACGATCCTATCGTTCCAATTATAATGCGCTATCTGGAGTGGTAAGTGTTCTTAGTTTTATATTTACAACAAATAAGTTCGTTTATTAGTTTAAAAATTAGTTAGAAAATGTTAAGTTAATTCTAATATATAAAAAAACCAATTTTTTGTAATCTAAAAATACTCAGAATCTAAAATTTGGATATGTTAAAAATGATTTTGTTCAGGCTTGTATAGTTGGATATAAAACCAAAAAGGTGCTATATATTGGAGTTCGTAATAAGTATTGTTCCATATGTCAAAAAGCAGAGTTTTTTAAAAAAATGCCCTCCACCCACGTATGTTACAAAAACTGGACTGGAACATCGACTGCTATGGAGAGTGATATTATCGTGGATGGGTTTTGCCAAAGTATTGAAACCCATAATTTAATTTACAACAGTCTTATTGGAGATGGTGACAGTAGCATTATTAAAAAACTACGAATAAAGAAACCTTACGGAGATGATATAATAGTTCAAAAAATTGAATGTAGTAACCATATTTTACGGAATTATTCTAATCGTATTAGACAAATTTCTACACAAAGAAAGTGTTCATCTGATAATGTTGTTCCCGGGTATATTAGAACCAAAATAAAAGCTAATTTATTGAGGTTAAGGTAAGTAAACACTTAAAAGTTAAAAACAGTACTAGAAATGATTATAACTCTTAATTTATGTTATATTACTTACAGATTTGCTGTGACGAAGGCTATACAATATAGAAAAGAAATGAATATTTCACTCAATGAAAAAGTAAAGTTACTGAAAAATGATATTTTGAATGGACCTTTTCATGTATTTGGATGCCATGATGGATGTGACAGGTAAGCATTATACTGAATTAATTTGTGTGCCTGATAAAACAGTCTAAAATTGTAATTTTGTTCAGATATTTCTGTGAGAATATAAAAGCAAATGAAAATAATTTTGTCCCTGAATTACAAGAATGTGGTGTATGGAATGATTTAATGGCAGCTATAAACTTGGTAGCTTATCACGCTAATAGTTTAATTCACCATGTCAATAACAATTGTGTTGAAGGCTACAATAGTATAGTTGCTAAGTATGTAGGCGGAAAACGTATCAACTATTCTCTTAGAGGTAACTAATTTTTTGGAATTTTTCTGTTTATAAATGAGTTTTTTGAGCCAAAGCAATTTTTTCTATATATTTTGTAGTGCTTCAATATCCTATTGTATATAATTTTATTATTATTTACTATATATTTTACAAATGTAGGCTCATATAATGTCCGTTGTCATACCGCAGTATCTGCATATAATTATGGCCCTTATCATCTCAGAAAATTTCATAAAAAAGTAACTAACTTCAGCCCGGGAAAATATACAAAGCAATATATTTCTAAGGAAATAAAACAAAGACTCGACAAAAGACGTCGACTTAGCAATAAATTGTCCACTAATACTAAGTAATAACATTATTAATATAGTAATTAAGTATCTATAGGTTGATAGAGTATAAAGTATAGGTAACAATATAGTAAAATCATAATGTATTTAAAAAAAATTGTAGTCCTAAAATACGGAAACAAATTATTTATGGACCGGACGCCGATTATGGAGCTGTGAATGATGAATTAGGTTGTCAGACGTTACCTATGTCGCGTGAAGATTTTGAAGAAAAAAAATTAGAGTTGTTGACAAATTTGAAATTAAATATGGTTGAAATTGACGAATTACAGCGTCGAACAGTTGAACAGGCGAATTGTGTGGAATGGAAAAAAGAGAGGTCCAAAAGGTTAACTGCGTCCAATTTTGGGAAAATTTGTAAATTACGAAAAACCACTTCCAGGAAAAATAGTGTAATCTCAGTTTTATACCAATCAGAGTATTTTCATGGTACTGCTGCTACAAGGTAATTTTTAATGGTAAATAATTAGTAAAACTAATATTATTTTATTTCCTTATTTTGTTGTCAATAATACAATTTTTACGGTAGGGACTGTAAATTTCAACGAAAACCAAAGTTCACAATTTTGAATTTACCAGGCAAAATAACTTAAATTAATAATTTAACATTTTTGTTTAAATTAGATATGGGATTCAATTTGAATCTATTGCAAAGGACGAATTTGAGAAGCTATTCGGATACAAAGTAGCCCCAGCTGGATTGTTTGTTGACCCTCATCTGCCATTTTTGGCAGCAACACCAGATGGGCTTATTGAGGATGATTCAATAATAGAGATAAAATGTCCATTTTCTATAAAAAATTTTACTCCCCAAGATGCACACAAAGCAAAAAAGTTAAAGTTTATGGATATGCAATCGGGTAAACTATTTTTAAAAAAAAACCATTCTTACTACTTCCAAGTACAAGGACAGTTGCATATAACAAACAGAAAATATTGCTACTTTGTTGTATGGACACCAAAAGGTAAACATTTTACTGTATGTACTAATAATTATTATTTCATTATTGTAAGATTTTGTAATTATTGTTATAGGGATTTGTGTACATAAAATTGAACGTGATGATGATATCTGGAATAATAAGATGGAGATGACGTTGTCAGAATTCTACCTGGACCATATGTTGCCAGAAATATGTAATCCACAATATTTAAAAACATAACAAACTTACGACGTTCCTACTCATTTTTTAATCTTTTATATTTTTAATTTTATTACACTTATTTGTTTATTTCAAATGTTTTTATAATTTTTTTTAAGTTAATGTTTCATAAAAACAATCATTTCCTTGTAGTATTTAGTATTATTTAATATTTATTGGTTATTAATTATTATAATAGTCGGCTAGTCTATTTTTTTTTATAACAACAGCCACTTTTGTAAAAATGCGCGACCGCAGCAATGACACGTATAATATAATATATAATAGGTATAAATGTATTACGTATTATGTACCTACAACGAAATATAATAGTTCAATGCGATAGCGGATACACATTATTATTATAAAATGGAAATAAAACTATAAATAACATTGTGATAATGATGTGACTATGACAAAGAGGAAGGTGGCGGTACAGTTTATGAACCGCACACACACTAATGATAATTTACTACTAACACATACACACTGCGTAACGCGTATAAATGATGAAATTGCCTATACACAACCCCTTAATAAATCGCCGCTTCCAATCTTAAGACATTGAATTAGATTTATTTTAAACACATAAAAATTTAATAATAGAAAATAAATGTGTATTATGCATCTTAATGTTATTAACCAACTTATAAATACATTTTACAATATAATTCATATATAGCTGTAATGTACAGTATGAAACGTTAGGTGTTTGTGCTTGATAATCTCAAGTATCAAATAACAATATATTTTGTGACTCTATATATCAATTGATTAAATAAAGTATAATCATTACGAATGAAGTTGTAGCAGTTATCATAAGTTTGCTTGTCGTTCCCACAGTCACATGAAGGAGTAGTATGTAATTTCCATTCAAACATCATATGATTACACCTTCCATGGGGTCTATTGTCTAAACAATACCCCATATATAAACTGAATGCCCTATCCATTCATTCAAAGGCACTTAAATGATATCCAAATCTGGACATTAATTTATAGCATATAGCCTTTTTTTTATTATATATTTTTATGTTTCTATATGTTTCTGTTAATATTTACATGTTTAAATTTGTTGCTCTACTCTGTCATACGAAATTTATATATTATCTATATATATATCATAAGTTTAAATTTCAGTGTTGATACAATTGTAATTAAATATATTGGCATAGTCTAAAAATAAAAATATTGTATAGGTGGTATGTAAAAACAAATAACTGAACAATTAGTTAAAGAATTATTGGTAAAATCAAAGTTTAACTCACCTATTTCATTTCCATTCCAAACTTCCAAGGTAGCCGCGTCATGTCCTTAAACACGTATTTGTACAGATACATTATGCTCTTCACTGTAGAAGCACACCTCAACGTTGATGTGCGCATCATACTTGATCAGCAAGTAAGGGTTGTATGGCACAACAAACTCATTTTCTACTTGGTGACCTCTGACGTTAGCCTCAAGTCCGTTATTTGATCTGCGGTTGGCGTGTTATTGCCATTCGAATCGGTTGACTTCCCAGATTCGTTAAAGTACAACTCACAGTAACTCGGCCATCATTTCATTTCTGACAATGCCATTACTAATATTGCGATACACTTTCCCATGAACAGTGAACACTTTTGGTCCCCGACCTGGTAAACGTCTTGGTTGAGGTCAGAAAACGCAGCAATTGCTAAAGTATTGTTGTTCGTCTGATTTCTTGTCTTTACGGGCACACGTGCTCTGAGAGCACCCTGGGAATCGGTATAAACTGTAATTTAAACAACAAAGTTGTAAAAATCAATGTCATCTATTTTATTAAATGTGAAATATACACTGACTTCATTTTCGACGTCTGGTGGTAAAACGTCGAATACATCCATGAATTCATATACTGCTGCAGCATCAGCTAGCAGCAAATCTACAACCTCAATGTCATCTGGAAAGACTTCTAATTGGGTTGCGCCAATGGTTCTTTCTACCTCTACCATGACCTCATCAATTTAGACTTCAACAATTTCCACATCCATTTCTTGTTCGCCGTCTGGTACCGCAATCTCTATATTCGTTGATTATTTTGTACTACCTAAACATCATATGAGGTCAGTTTTAATGTATCTGTACAAAATTATGAATTTTAATTAAGAACTTATTAATTATATATGTGTGTGTGTGTGTGTGTGTGTTATTATTGATTATTATTATTATTGTATATAGTAATAAATATGCATCTAAATTATAAATATATAAATAGAGTGTTCCACGGAGTTCTGACAAATGAAATAACTTGAAATCTAATCAATATTTTTATTTTTATTTTATAGTAGGAAAATAATAAATTTGAAATTTGATTCAATTTTGAAAAATTAAAAATAGCCTATTAGAAACATATTGAAAAATATGTTTAACGTTTACAGTATTTTAATTGAGTTATCGTTTGTGACTTATTAACATTTAAATATTGTTCAATTTACTGCTACTGGGCAATTTATAAAACCAAACAAAAAACCAGAAGTCAAAATGTATCTAAGATAAGTAAATAAGATAATACACAGATTTTCAGATTCTATAGGTCCAATATCCAATTTCTATGACCATTCATTGTATATTAGTTATTATCGATAATCGCTGTTATCGTATCCTTAATTGAGATATATTTCATTTTGACTTCTTGTTTTTAATAATAATAAAATAAGAATGTAATGAATCATCATCAATGACATAATTCAAAAATGAATGAGCTTAGTTGGTGCCACTTTTTTTTTGTTACAACATATGTCATGCTTAAATTGAAATTGAGTATGATAGCACAGTTATATTGTAATGATATGCTCACACATCATAATTTATTGTATATTTTATCATTTCGTTAAATAAAGTAACGGTCAAGTTGTCGCACGCAGATAGCCTTCAATAAAAACCTATAATCCCTATTGATCACTGACGAGAGAGACGATCTACATTGTTTGGCCACGTGGGAACCCAAACGCTATTGCGACCATATGGCACAAAGCGTTTGACCTATTTTCGTGTGCCACCAAAGACAAGGGATGGTCCAATGAGGCTCTCTGTCATCGGGGACCCTGGCTGTCTTGAACACGTCGTCTTCTCTAGTCAGTGCATGAGCACCAGCCAAACTATCGAGTGCAGGCGCACCAGACAAACGAGCAGGAGCTCTTCCCAAAACCTATCACGCACCCCATAACACAAGACTCTGCGAGCGACAGCTGGACTTCTTTCTTTTTCTAAGATAAATCAGTGTTGTTTTTCTTATTTAAATTTAAGTTTTCCTTAAATCGTATCGCAACTCGTGTTATCTTACATCTTTCTCTGAGGATCGTACTACAGGTATTCACCGCGGCGAACCAGGTAAGGTGCATGCCCTAAATACTTATTGTCAGTACGAAATCTTTTACTATTTAATTTACATACGGTGTATTTGATCATATTCTTGAATCACGATCTCGAGAACCCTCCGAAGAACAGGAGGAAGGTAATAACGCAAGAACAAGTACATTCAATATTTATTAGTACCGGACTTACATACAAGGCTTGTGTCCCTTGTGTCAGTCCGGCCACATCATACTCATAACTTATACCCTTTTATTTTGATTTTTAATATATTTTTACATTTTAATTTTAATTTCTTTTATTTTTGTGTTATTACAAAGTGGCATCCAACATAAGTTTAGTTCATTTGTTTATTTTTTCAAATAAACTGAGAATTGATCAAGTACACTATAGAGATTAGACAGTTAACCTATACATCATATTATATACTTACATATTTTATAAGAGATAGATACAAAAAATTATACATTTTAAAATAACATAAAAAAAACTAAAATTATTAAATCTTAAAAAAAGATTTATACTAATAAAAAAAAAAAATAAAAAAAAAAATATACTAAAAATTTATATTTATTTTGAAGTTATATTAAAAATAAAGACGGGATTATAAAAGTATTTAGGAGGATTTTTTATTTTTCCACGTGAAACAAATATACTAAAAATTTATATATATTTTAAAGTTATATTAAAAATAAAAACAGGTTTATAAAAATATTCAGGATAATTTTTTATTTTACCACATAAAACTAAAACTAATAAATCAAAAGATTTATATATATATAAAAAAAAAAAAAAAAACAATTTTTAAGAAAATTCAAAATAATTTGTAAAATCAAATTATTAATAAAATTCTAAAAGATTTATATATATTTAAAAAAAAAAAAAAAAAAAACAAACAAGAAAAAATTTTAGTGTGAAATAATATATTTTATTTTTCTCACTTATTGAGTGAATAATTAAACTAATTAACAAGGTATTATAATATATTTAGCATATATAAAAAAAAAATTTTAATTAATTAATTTAATTACTATTTACCTATGCCTAATTAAAAAAAAATAGATAATCTGGATAAATTCAAATTCCCTAATATAAATTTAAACAGCATTTCAACGGGTTAGATAAATAAACTTAAGGCTTTTTTAAAGTTAATTATGGTCAAAATATTTTTTAATCATTTTTCTATGTCATCTTGAACCCAAATCAATACACCTATTTTTTTTTGAAAAAATAATTAATTCATGCAGAAAGGGGTTAAACCAACGACAGCGTGGAAATCATAATGTTTACCTAGGTACCTATTTACCAAATACATAATGCCATATTAAAATTATTGTTACAGAGTGGGCGTCGTTGTGCTTGTAACTGTGATACACAATCTACACATAACACTTTATGCCCACTAAATTTGGAGGAACTTCTACAAAAGGTATTTCTTCTTCCTCGTCGGTATCGTTCTAAAACTGTTGCTATAATATCCAATTCCCTATCTTCAGGAATAATGAAGTCCATATCATCATAATCCAGTAATAAATAAATGATTTAGTTATAATTTACAAGGTACCTAATTAAAAAATTGTTTTTTTTGATAGAGATAACTACTTTATTATTGGTAAGTGTCTACACAAATCAAATTAAAAATATTATTTTTGAAGTAGATGTAGATATTACCTTCTATGTTATTGTCT